GAGAAGGCAAGGATGCAAGGGCACCCTTGGCAGGGTTACCCGTCCTTACTGTGCGGGTTGACTGCACATACCTGCACCAGTCCTGGCAAGGCCTTGTCGGTGAGAACCGAATGGCTCAGACACCGAGCGGGCTCGGCAAGGACCCCCCGGGGAGCACCGGGACGCCCAGGTTTCTCGCGGTAGGCGCGGCGGGGAGCGGTCCCCATGTGGGGGCGCCCAGCGGCCGCGCGCGGGGGAGGCCTGAAGCTGTTGCTCCGCCCCGTGGTCCGCCACCTGCCGCCGCGCTTCGCTGCCGTCGTCGTCGTCGTCGTCGTCGTCGCCGTCGTCGTCGTCGTCGTCGCCGCCGTCGTCGTCGTCATAGTCGTCGTCGTCGTCCGTCGTCGTCGTCGACGTCGTCGTTGTCGTCGTCGTCGTCTTCGTCGCCGTCGTCGTCGTCGTCGTCGACGTTCGTCGTCGATGTCGTTTTCGTCGTCGTCGTCGTTCGTCGTCGTCGTCGTCGGCGTCGTCGTCGTCTGTCCGTCTAATCGCCGTCGCCGCCGCCGCCATCGTCTTTCCGTCCTGTCGTCCAATACCGTCGACGTCGTCGTCTCTCGTCTGTCGTCGTCGCTGCCGCCGTCGTCGTGGCCGTCAGGGGTCGAGGATCGAGGGGCGACTCTCGAGGCTCGAATATCGGGGCTCGAATGTCGAAGTTTGATTTTTTCCTGTGGTCCAGCCCTTTTGAGATCCCATGTGGGCATCCTGCTCTCTGCGAGTGGATCCGGCTCGAAATCCTCGTCAGAACGCACCACAGGGGAGGCTCAAAAGTAAAATTTTGGAGAAAGTACCAGGCAGGCGAAAGCGAACGCCTGGATCCACATGCGGAGCATGCGGAGGCTAACCGCTGGATGCAGATTCGGAGGACTGGCGTGCCTGGCCATACGGGGGCCGAGCGAAGAAAAGACGTGCGGTCACACGTGTATCAGCCCACGTGAGGTCAGGCCACGTCACCCCTCCTCCTCCTCCTTCTCCTCCTCCTCCTCCTCCTCCTCCTCCTCCTCCTCCTCCTCATCATCATCATCATCATCATCATCATCATCATCATCATCATCATCATCATCATCATCATCAGCATAATCCTCATCATCGTCATCATCATCATCACCATCATCATCATCACCATCATCATCATCATCATCAGCAGCAGCAGCATCATCAGCATCTTCATCATCATCATCATCACCACCATCATAATCATCATCATCCTCATCATCATCAGCAGCATCATCATCAGCATCATCATCATCCTCATCCTCATCAGCATCATCATCATCATCATCATCAGCATCAGCATCATCATCAGCATCATCATCATCACCAGCATCATCATCATCACCATCATCATCATCATCTTCATCTTCATCTTCATCTTCATCCTCATCCTCATCCTCATCCTCATCCTCATCCTCCCCGTCCCCTCCCCCTCCTCCTCCTCAATCATCATCCTCATCCTCATCCTCGTCCTCATCCTTCTCCCTACTCCTCCTCCTCTCCTCCTCCTCCTCCGCCTCCTCTCCTCCTCCTCCCCTCTCCTCTTCCTACTCCCCCCTCTCCCTGCCTCCTCATCATCCCCTCCTCCTCTTCTCCTCCTCCTCCCCCTCCTACATGCCTACATGTTTTCCATCTCCTCCTGCCCTCCCCCTCCCCCTCCCCTCCTCTCCTCCCTCCTCCTCCTCTCCTCCTCCCTCCTCTCCTCCAACTCCTCCACTCATCTCCTCCTCCCCCTCCTCCTCCTCCTCCTCCTCCTCCTCCTCCTCCTCCAACTCCTCGGGTCGCCTACGCCGCGCCGGTTGTCTGGAACGCGCCCAAATAGACGAAGCCGGCACCGCGGCAAACCTCACTGCAAACCTTGCGTCCGAGGCGGAGTTTGTCCTGGTGGCCGAGGCACCCTCTCAAAGACGCAAGGCCGCGCGCCGCAACAACCGGCGCGGCGATAGGTTCAGCTTCATGGAACGGAGGCAGGTAAGCTCAAGGTGTGTGCGACTCCCGCCGTCCGAGCAACCAAGACATCCGACGCGGTGGCTTGTTGAAAGCGCGGGCCCCCAGTAATCTCGACCCTTCCGCGCGGAGCGGCTTCTTGCCCCGATACTTGATTCGGCCCCACCCCATCGGTAACTCAAAAATGGTATCGTGGGGCCCTCTGGGGCCGCTCTTGGGCGGCTCCTGGGCGCTCTTGGGGCAGTCCTGGGGCGCTCTTGAGCCCTTCCAGGGGCTCTCTTGGGCCATGCTGCGGCCTCAAGAGCCCATCCCCAGAGTCCCACAAGGTTCCCCGGAGGCCGAAAACCACGA